CACTGATCGTGGTAGCCACAGTCGCAGTCTCAGTAGCGATCGGGGTGGTAGCATCAGAATCATCCTTGTCTCTACCGGGAGCTTCCCCAGCTGCCGTGGTGATGGTGACCTCGCCAGTCACAGGAGCTGCAGTAGTATCAACAATCTCATAGGTCTCAGCAGCTGTGCTGACCGGGAAAGGGGACGTTATAGTAGTAGTAGGCTCAACAGGAGCACCGATCGTAGTCGTGACAGTCGCAACCTCCGTAGCGACCTTGGTGGTAGCAACAGAGTCATTCTTGTCTCTACCGGGAGCTTCCCCAGCTGCCGTGCTGATGATCACATCGCCAGTCACAGGAGCTGCAGTAGTGACAGCAACCCCATCCGTCACAGCAGCTGTGCTGACCGGGAAAGGGGACGTGATAGTAGTAGGCTCAACAGGAGCACCGATCGTAGTCGTGACAGTTGCAGCCTCCGTAGCGACCGGGGTGGTAGCATCAGAGTCATCCTTGTCTCTACCGGGAGCCTCCCCAGCTGCCGTGCTGATGGTCACTTCGCCAGTCACAGGGGCTGCAGTAGTGACAGCCACCTCATCGGTCTCAGCGGGCGTACTGACCGGTTGAGGGGACGTCATGATAGTAGTAGGCTCAATAGGAGCATCGATCGTAGTAGTGCCAGCCGCAGTCTCGGTAGCGACCGGGGTGGTAGCATCAGAATCATCCTTGTCTCTTCCCGGAGCTTCCCCAGCTGCCGTCGTGATGGTGACCTCGCCAGTCACAGGGGCTGCAGTAGTAGCAACAATCTCATCGGTCACAACAGCTGTGCTGACCGGTTGAGGGGTCGTGATAGCAGTTGTAGGCTCGACAGGAGCATCGATCGTAGTAGTGCCAGCCGCAGTCTCAGTAGCGACCGGGGTGGTAGCATCAGAATCATCCTTGTCTCTACCGGGAGCTCCCCCAGCTGCCGTGCTGATGATCACTTCGCCAGTCACAGGAGCTGCAGTAGTGACAGCAACCTCATCGGTCACAGCAGCTGTGCTGACCGGGAAAGGGG